GATCGGGTGATCAAGGGGGCCATGTCATTATCTTTTTCTCCTTTTACTTTTTCTGGCCAGCCATGCTGTGGTGTATTTTGATGCGTGTGACGGAGCATTGTCCTGCATGAATATCAGGTTTTTCTTGAATGATGGCGACTTCTTTTTGTTCCACTGTTTGAAGAAGGTGTCTTCCAGAAACTGGCAGAAGGTCTGGGAGTTGATCTTGACTCCATCATAGGGCTGGGCGATAATTCAATAACGATATATATCGATCGATAGACGTGTGGCGCAATAGAAAAAAAGAGGTTTGATAAAAAAGAAACGCAGTTTTCCTTCCTTCTCATTGTAGCCTAGCATGTAGGTTTATGCTAGTCACTGCTTCCTCCCAACCAATCACAATCACGGACCCAGGCACGCCGTCACCAAGCGCCGCCCTCTCAAACCACAACACAGAGCACATGAAGATGTCGCAGCAAGGAGAGGCGGAGGAAATTGTTTCAAAGAAAGGTTTTTGTAGTTCGGCAGTCTGGCAGTATTTCGGTCATGGCAAGTCGGACTAAAAAAAAACCACAGTCATCTGTAAAATGTGTCGGGAACCAGTGAAAACCAAGTCTGATAACACAACCAACTTTTTTTTTTTATCATCTGAGCCGCTCACAGCCGCAGGAGTACGAGCTGTGTAGGCCCCGGCGCGAAACTCCTGAAGGAATCTTCAGGAATTTCGGGAAAATATATATATATTTTCAGTTCTGGGCAGTTTCCCACGTAGTTCTAACAATTGAGATAAAAATGCTGAGGGGCCAGAAACTTCAAAGTAATAACTCAGGTTAAAGCAGGAAACGGGGGCGGCGGCGGGGGGGCATTTATTTATTTGTTATATTTATTTTGGTCACTTTTCTGGTCCCTTTAGTTTATGCTTTGTCAGTATTTAATAACATAACTCAGGTCTCTTAAGTTATTTTTCTTTAAAACAATTCTGTTATGGTTAAAAAAGTTGGTTAAATAAAGATTTAATTCAAAGTCTGTGTTTGTGTGTTTTATTAAAATTAAATCATTTAGCAATATTATAAAAAGTCCAGGCAGAGTTGCACATAAAATATGGTTTCAAATCTTTTCAATAATTATCGATATCGATCAATATCCATTTTTTTTTTTTTTGCTATTTTTCTATATCGCCCAGCCCTAATACATCATCAACCTGAAAAGGTCCCACAAGCTCATCTTTGATGATAGCAGCCCATAGCATTACCCCACCTCCACCTTGCTGGCGTCTGAGTGGATAAGGAACTTGCTGCCCTTTACTGATCCAGCCTGGTGCCCATCCATCCACCTGGCCCATCAAGACTCTCTCTCATTCCATCAGACCAAAACACCTTGGAGGAATCAGTCTGCAGATATTTCTTGGCCCAATCTTAGCGTTTTGTCTTGTGTGTCTTGTTCAAAGGTGTCCTTTTGTTGGCTTTCCTTACCTTGGCCAGGTCCCTGAGTATTGAGCACCTTGTGCTTCCCGGCACTCCAGACATGTTGCAGCTCTGAAATATGGAACAACTGGCGGCTAATGGCTTCCTGGCAGCTTCACGCTTCATCCTTCTCAATTCATTGGGAGTTATTTTGCGTCTTCTTTCTTCAACACGCTTCTTGCGCCCCTGTTGGCTATTTGCCATGAACCGCTGGATTGTGCGATGATCCCGCTTCAAAAGCTTGGATATTTCCAAACTGCTGCACCCCTCTGAAAGACATCTGACACTTTTTGACTTTTCAGAATCTGTCAAATCTCTTTTCTGACCCATTTTGCCAAAGGAAAGGAAGTTGCCTAATAATTAAGCACACTTTATATAGGGTGTTGATGTCATTAGGCCACACCCCTTTTAATTACAGAGATGCACACCACCTGATTTACTTAATTGGTAGTTGGTTTCCAGCCTATATAGCTTGTAGGACAACATGTGTGTAAAGGATGATGTGGAATACAAATTTTCCTAATAATTCTGCAAACAGTTTATATCTCTATAAATCTATGAAGGAATCGCTCTGATCTGTAGGATCCTACTGAGAGCACAGGTGGGAAATGAAATCCAGATTCCTCCAAAAACAGCAAATCCAATAAAATCAATGTATCTTGTGACCCAAACTATAAAAGGTAACTTGATTATTCTCTCCAGTCAATCAGCAACATGTAGGGTGGGTCAACTTCTGTCCCTCAGACCAAGGATTCAGCAGGATAAGCTGGATGTTAGATTATAACCACCTAAACTCTGATTGGCTCCTTCTCTGTTCTTCATGGTTTAACCTGAAACTAATCAATGTTCTGTTTTCATGGTCTTTGTTTCAGCTTTATAAAGTTTATGATGCTTTATGCCTAGTTTTGAGCTGCTTCATTCTCAGCTGGTTCCGGTCCAGTTTGTTGATGTGAAGCAGAGCCTCAGAGGCGGTTCTCCACCCTAATGTCTTTAACAGCTTTGCTGGTAATAAACTCAGCGTGGCCGAGGTCACAAGAACAGGAAGCCTTTGGAAATTACAAAGTAAAAATAGCCAGCGTTGTTTTTTTTTGTTGTTTTTTTTTTAAGAACCACTGAGCCATTTAGCCCGGGTTCCAGTTAATGTGGGAGAAATTGTAGAAGGATGGAAAAGAAAATGATCCAAGACTCTCCACAATATTCCAGCTGTCAGTTTACAGTAAAACACATCTGATCTATTTTTATACCAAACTCCTGGAAGAATCCATCTCATCTTCTGATGTTTTTACCTAAAGACGGTGGGAGTGTTGGAGCTTTAAAAGAAAAAAAGGCCCCCAAAACAACCTGTGTTTGAAATGTGGGTCCTGCATCAAAGTTAATAGCTTCTTCCATCGGCCAAGAGTGTTTCTACAAAAGGCTTTATGCACTGTAAAAAAAAAAAGCAATCTAGATATGAGTAAAGACTTCTTAAATTAAGTGTTTTTACCTTTAAGTAGGTAAATAAGAGGATTTGTTTATACTTTTTAGATAATTAGATAAAATGCGCTTGAAATGAGACAATGCAATTTATTAATGTTTTTTTATTGTAAATTCTACTGGCAAAGTGTCTCACTTACCTCCTGAATTCAAGAAAAATATCCTATTTTGAAGAAAAATAAGTTATTTATTGCATTTTATCATGTGAACGGCACCAATAAATGTACATTAAACTGAGAGATTATCTTTCCTGCGTTTATTTTCTATGTTCATAAATCAATATAATTAGCAAAACTACTGATAACTGATGACTAACTCTGAAAATTAAGACTAAAGATCCACAACTAGGGCTGGGTAAAAAAATAAATTTAATCGATTTTGAATCGATTCCTTTACATTTTTGCAAAATCGATGTCTAGGGAATGAGATCGATTCATTTTATAGTGACGCGCATGGCGTTCACATTTAAATGAGCAGGAAAGATGCACTCAAGATGACTTCAAGCCAGATAGCTGCAAATATAGCCAATAGGTTGACTGAAGACATTAACAAATGGAGGCTGAACAGAAAACACCCTGTAGTTACAGACAGCGCTGCTAATATGGGTTGTGCAGTGAAGATAATTCAGCTCCTGCATGTCTGCTGTGTCACGTCTGCTCGCTCCAGTGAGGCTTCACTTTTTCACTTCTCACAAACACATCTTTTCATATCTCGTGTTTAAACTGTCTAATTTACAAGTTTGTGCTTTGTGTTTAATGTGACAAGAAAAAACAAAATACATGAGTTTTTGGAAACACAGTTGTTATTGTAAAAACAGATCGAATCAAAATTAATTGATTTAGAACTGAATGAATCGTAATCGAATCGATTCAGGACTTTGGAGAAAATACCCAGCCCTATCCACAACCAAACAGAAAAAATCTTTTCAGATTTCTCCCCGTCCCTCAAAGTTTTCATCTGCTGAGCCATGCTTCCTGTCTGCGGTGGACGCCATCGCTAACGCAGCCAATGTGTTGCCGCTCTTTCTGCGCCAAAAACGCTGTAACCACAGACTACAGTGCACATTGATTGACATTAAGGCTACAACTAATGATTATTTTGAAAACAATCATTAGACCACCGCAGCCTGCCAATCCAGGGGAACTGAACTATTCCATGTCCTGTCAGAACGAAACGGACATTGAAGAGGAAGTGGTTTGTCTTTTTTCACATGGCTTCATGCAAGGGCTAAAACAATTAATCAACAAATTTATTAATAGGTTAATCGTTAACTGGAGTCTAGAGACTCTAAAACGGGCCTTAAACTGACAGAGCGATTCACTTAGAGCAGCAAGTACACAAAGATTACAAAAAATATATACAAACATTTTTAATTTAAGATATAAAAACCTTTATGTCTGTCACTCTGCTCTATCCAGAACTCTAAAAGTGGAAAAGGTTTTTACCTTTTGGCGTTTTAATCTTCCTAAAGCAATGTTTGGTTTCCTGATTATTAATCAATTAATAACAAAAAAAGTCAACAAACGATTTGATTTGCTAAATAATCATTAGTTGCATCCCTACTTCATGCTAAAGCTTCATGTTAAAGCATGAACTTTAACAACGAGCCTCTGATGGTCACATCACCGTTTGGTCTGAAACGGCTTCTTTGATCTACCAACCTGTTAAACCGGTTAGAAATGTGGCTAGCATCTTTTTGATTGTTAACATGAGCTTGACTGACTTCTGGCTCATTGTTTAGTTGGCAGGATGGAAAAACCTGTTTCCACGACCTCATTAACTTCAGACGGTCGCCGCCTTTAAAAGAGTTATTTAGCAGGAAGGAGAGACTGTTTGGAGGAATCCTGCAAGCAAACTGGTTCAAAGGAGACTTTCTGCTGGAGGCAAAGTTTCCTCATCCAGAGGGACGGCCTCCATCTCTAACAACGGTCAAAGTCTTACTCTCTGACCTTAGAAAAATCCCAGTAAAACACATTGAAGTTCAAACGTGACGCCATAAGAAAAAGCTGCAGGAAAACACCCTGATAGTGAATGGAAGATGTTTGCTGAGATCTTTCATGTATCGTTTCTCTCTGTACTCCGCAGGAGAGGAGACCAGCGTGTTCAAGTGTTCAGTTTCCCGTGAAACAGAGTGCAGCCGCGTAGGCAAGCAGTCGTTCATCATCACTTTAGGCTGCAACAGCGTCCTGCTGCAGTTCTCCTCGCCGGCAGGTACTCCTCTGCATCCTCCTGGCATCAGTCATGGAAAACTGATATTCTGGAGGCGTTTTATTTGCTTAGAGCATGGTTTCCAACGAGTGTGACTGTTTTTATGCTCTGCTTCAGACTTTCAGTCCTTTTATAACCTTCTGAAGAACTGCCGGGGACATGCTGGGGAGTGCTCAGTCTTCAGTGAACGAACAGAGGAGTCCTCTGCTGTACAGTATTTCCAGGTAAGGAGACACAACAAAATGCTTCATTTTAAAGGAAAAGTCCGGTCAGCGAGGAATAATCAATGGATCACTATTTATACCTAAAACTAATACCTTCGTCGTGATTTAATGAATTAAGTTTTAATCAATACAAAATTTAAAAAAAATTTCATTGCGATCACTGATTCTGTGAGCAGCCATCTTTGCCCAAATATAGTACCCCTCCCTCCTGCCATCTTCCAGCAGTGACGTCACGGTGCGGTAAGCCTAGCGCCATTCTCCCCGCTTTCCAAGCTAAATCAATGGGAACTACTAGACACATCTGCAATCAACAACAATTATTGAAGATTTCCAGAGGACTTCACCATTGAAATTCACCAGAGCTATAGTGAAACTGACAATGCCCACGTGCATGGCAGCTGGATGCTGGAATACATCGGGTAAAAGTGAAAAAAAAAGAGTTATTCCACCTTTCTGATTCCTGATCCTCCACGGACGGGTTGGTCGTTGGATCGCCAACTTGAAGAGGGAGGATTTGCCATCGAACTTCTGGCCAGAGAAAAAACCCGTAATATGTAGCCAACATTTGGAAGAAGAATGTTTTCAAGATGACTTGGATAATAGCGCGTTGTGACAAACACCAGATACAGCACTGGGACTTGATCAACAGCCGATACCGCACCGTGACGTCACTAACCAGTAGGTGGCAGTAGTGTTCTTTGACAAACATGGATGCCTCCAGTAAAGCACATTCACATGAAAATTACTCTGAATTAAAAACACTGATCATTTATTGAACAGGATGGAATCATTTCATATTTAAAGGACTTTCAGAAGTTTGAAATCGGAATATGAGCGGATTTCTCCTTTAAAAACAAGAGATGTTTGGAAAACCGTTTTGGTCGAACTGAAATCCTCCAGGGTCGTCGTCCTGCTCACCTTTTTACGACTGATTCTGTTTAAACTTCCTCTCCGGTGGGTTAAAATGGATCCTTCTAAACGTTTAAGGACACCGACCCTGGAGGACTGGAGTTTGGATCAACGTTTAATTCAGGCCTTGATTCCCTCTGGCTTAAGAAAACGGAGCAGCTATAATTACTCGCTTGCTTTCTTCTTACCTGCAGGACTATTTATAGTTTATTTGTGTCTAGAACAGTCAGGACAAGGTCTCTGGTTTCCTCTCCAGATTTCTCTGCAGGATATCAAGACTACAAACATGTATTATATCATCAATAACTAGAGATTTAGACCAATTGTCGGCTTACCATTAAGTTTTCAATGTAGTCAGTTGATTAATTGATGACCTCCAGCATTTTAATGCCATCATTGTCCACTAGAGGGCACAGCTACTCGTTTTTAAGCAAAGCCTCAGTGATATTTGCAAGAAAAGTAATAGAATTATGAAAACCTGCATCAACCCAGAGTCTGATCTGGATTCGTTCACACAGTTTAATGGTGAGAAGGTAGCAGAATCTACTTCACGTGGTTCATGGATCCATCATCACCAACCGTCGCTCTGTTCTCTCACTGCTACTCAACAGCAGGTGAATGAGAGCGCCCAGAGCATCACACCCGGAGACCCATGGAAATCAAATCCTAAATGTTGGAAAATATTCCATAATAGTTAAGCCCCTGTCACACCTTGACGATTTAGACCACTGTATGCCTGACGTATGAAAAATCTGGCAAAAATAAGTTTTGTATAAGTTATGAGTACGCAGAAGTACGCTGAAACATGTCGACAAATAAAGTACGTCGAGAAATTTTGAGCATTTCCCGATGTATGCCGTACGTGGACCTTTGAGTCACTTGTGCATAACTTCTGCGTAACTTATCCAGAACTTCTCTCCAATGCATATCAAGGTATCTGACGTTTTCCAGACTGAACGTGTTTCTAACTTCCAGCTACTGTATAATGGCGTATTGGCAGCGTTTTGGTATAAAGGGGGTTCACAGGAGGAAACCGTCAGTTCTCCTCCAGACTTCATCCCCATCATAGGGTGAGTCAGAAGGTGAGAGTGATGGATCCTCCCTGCGTTCACGCCCACCACCAACAAGCCTCCTAGCAGACATGACGCTCAATCTGCTGCCACCAAAAACCTTCTGTCTTTTTCCTTTTTTTTGTTCTTGCAGGGCGGGTGATAAACAGCAGCTAAGTTAATACAGCGATGAAAAAAACATTTTTATGCAGGCCGGACATATGCGCCGCGGGGAACCGCTTTAACTGATGCACATGCATCACTTCATAATGATGCTTGTGCATCAGTTCATGGGCGTTATGCTGCCCTTGTTATGCATAAGTTAGGCTGTCGTTAGACGTACGTTCTGGACTCGTTTTGAAAAAATACATAGAAAGGTTGGCGTATGCCGGCGTTTTAGGAGAGTCTGGGACGTCAAGCATACACTGGATAAATCGTCATGGTGTGACAGAGGCCTTTACCTTTAAATCTGCTGTGACAATTAGGGCTGAACGATTTTGGAAAATAATCTAATTGCAATTCTTTTTCTTTATATTGCGATTTATTGCAATTTTTTCCCCCAGTTTAATTGATCATGTCTTTTTTTTTACATATACAAACAACAAATCAATCTGTTTCATCGCTGTGCAGATTAGATGCTAAAAGACACACTGTGTCCTAATTAATGATCGCGTTCCGCCTACGATATATTTCAACCAAAATCGCAATTTAATTTTGAATTTCTCAGCATAACCACAAGCAACAAAAATGGCCTCTAAATAAAGACAATTGTAAACAAGGACTATTTAAATCAAGAACTTTTAATGTTTTTATTATTTAGAATATTATTCAAGAGATTTTAACTGATTTGGACATCAGTCCTTGTTGAACATGAAGTCTAAAGTTCAACCAACAAACCAGTCTATGTATTAAAATGATTAACTGGTACTTGGTGGTATGTATGAATATATAGACTCTAAAACAAGTAATAAAATTAGATTATCTCACTGCTGCAACTGTCTTCCCTTCCATGTGGAGGCAAATCCACTTTAAACATTTTACTGACACCTAAAGAATGCGTCTGATTCACTAATTGTTACATAGCCAAAAATTGCAGACGTCCGCGATTTGGAAATTGCATTTTTTTCAATCGCGATTATATTGATAATGCGATTAATTGATTAACAGCCCTAGTGACAATAGATGCCTGTGTTCACATTATCTGCTGGGATCCAGTAAGCAGGTCGTATCACAACCCAGGGAAAGGCTGAACATCTTCAGCAGCGTTCTGTTTGGTCTCCTGTGTCCAAAGTTTTCACGCCGTTGGAATCTATTTGGTCATTAGGCGACAGTTTTCAGTCTCTTCACGTATCTGATAAATCTGATCATGACTCCAAAGCACCCGGTTTGATCCTAAATGGGTTTTTAACACGAATCAGACAAGCTGGAGGAGCTAACTCTGGAGGAGCTGCTTTGATCCATTGCTCAGGTAAATGTTATGTATAAAATCAGTCAGTAAAATGTTGCCTGTGAAGTTTGTCGTTCAGAGTAAAGCCTTCGAGGAAGCGGCGGCTAAGTTTGACCTGCTGAGCTCAGCAGTTCACCTCCAACCAATGTTCGCTCTGTTTGATGAAAGCTTCTGTGGTTTCCCCCCAGTTTTACGGCTACCTCTCCCAGCAACAGAACATGATGCAGGACTATGTTCGGACAGGGACGTACCAACGGGCCATTCTCCAGAACCACACTGACTTTAAGGACAAGGTAACCTCCTCTGCCTCTCTGTGCATGGAAGGAACTCATGGAAACGTGCTGTGATGCTAACCATGCCCCCCCCCTCTCTGTTCTCCAGGTGGTGCTGGATGTAGGTTGTGGGTCAGGAATCCTCTCCTTCTTTGCTGCCCAGGCTGGAGCCAGGAAGGTGTACGCAGTGGAGGCCAGCACCATGGCGCAGCACGCTGAGGTTGGAACACACGCACACCAGCAGAAGCCGACACTTTTACTGACACCTTTGGAGAAAAGATGATATAAAAAAAAAGAACCCAATTCAATTTATTTCTATAGCGCCAATTCCCAGCACATGTCATCTCAAAGCACTTTCCAGTTCATCAGATCATCCAGTCAGATTGATTCAAAGTTTTCTTTCTAAGGAAAACCAGCTGATTGCATCGACTCATTGACTGAAAGGCAATCCCTCACACTAAGCGTGCTTTTAGCGACAGTGGAGAGGAAAAACTCCCTTTGAACAGTAAGAAATCTCCAGCAGAACCAGGCTCAGTGTGAGCGGCCATCTGCTGGGGCCCACTGGGGTTCAAGGAGACAGAAGCAGAGATAGAAAAAGAAGCATAGATACAAAAGGCAACTGTAAAAGGCGGCCCCGTCCAGGAAACACACAGCCAGGCAGACGAGCTCCGAGCCAGCTCCCATGTCAGACGATGAAGAGAGCACATCCAGTTAGTCACAGTCAGAGAAACAGGACTACACTGGAAAACAGGCCAAGCTCCAACATCTAGAAACAAAGGTGTTGATGGCAGCAGCACAGCTGATATTTCTCTCCAGGATGGAGTCACAGCCAAACAGGAACAGACCAGATGAAGCTACTATGAGAAAAAGCAGAGAGAGCAGAACGTTAGAGATTGAACTAACAGATTCTGCAGAGTGGGAGAATAGAGATAGAATGAAGCAGAATGATGAAAAGGGGGTCTCTATGTCCTCCAGCAGTCTAGGCCTATAGCAGCAGAACTATAGAGATAGCTCAGGATAACCTGAGCCACTCTAACTAGAAGCTTTATCAAAAGGAAAGTTTTAAGCCTAGCCTTAAAAGTAGACAGGGTGTCTGCCTCACGGACTAAAACTGGTAGTTGGTTCCACACAATAACGCCTCTTTCCCACTGAAAATAGCGGGTTTAAACTGGTGTTTCAGCCACTGGTAAAGGTGTTAAACCATCTTAACTTGATCAAGTTCACTAAGAGAAAAGTTGTTTTAATAAGATCACCAGTAGCATGTATACTGGTAATAGTCGGGGCAGTCCAGAGTTCTGCTTCCCCCGGTTCTGATGCTCTTCTTCATTACCCGACCTTTCAGAGAATGGAGTTCACTATATGTAGGCGATGATGGAGGAACGCCGTGTCTGTTATCATACAAGTGCAGGTGTCATGATGTCATTTTCCCCCAATAACAGCCTCTCTACAGCCTGCCAGTAATATTTTTAGTCAAATATGTGTCCTTATATTCTTCAGATAAACAACTCTTCTCATCTAATAGCAAATAATTTTCTATGGGGAATAATTTACCATCATCTAAAACAGTTTTTATTACCTCACACCTTCCATAGTATCACCAACAGGAAAAACTTATTTTACTGCTTTATCTTCATCTTTTAGGATATAAAAACCTGACGTTCCCTCCTGACTTTTGGTCGGCAGAAATAAAATAGTTTCCACGTATTTCAACAGTCAGCTGTGATTTTAAAATGTTTTCTTTGGATTCAGTTCAGGTTCTGTTTATTAGCAAGTTTGATATTACGTCATAGTTAGGATTTAGAATATTCCCTGGAATATTCATGTAAATCCCTAGAAATATGATTTTAATTGTAGGTAATCCTCTTTATTCAAGATTACAAAGGTCTCATGTTGTGGAAACTCACCTTTATTTTACTGGTTGCTTAGATCCTGCATCATTCTTAGGCGGGTTGAAGCTGCCGTCATATCCGAGCCATAGCCAGTAGGTTTTTGGTCAGCAGGTTTTTTTTATGTCCCTTTGGAAACACGGCAGGTATAGCCGTCAGATGAGCATCCCCATAGTCAATACCCATTTATCCCGCTAGTTTTGTAGGAAAAAAATATAAATTATTTTACTTTTTGGTGTGTTTTTTTTAAGTGTATGAACTTAATATTTTGTTTTTTTTTGTACATGACTAAAGGGATACACGCCCATCAGAACAGCAGATCTTAATGCTCTGACTGCTCTGTTCTGCTGCCCCTCCTGTATATTTTCCTAGCTCAAAAGAAGGTCCTTCCCGTTACGTCTGGATCAGAACCACTGGATCTGCTTTCAGGCTGTTTGGAGAAGCTGTTGTTATAATTCTGACAGAAAGAGCCGACGCTGTAGCTGCACCCGGTGACTGTCGGACCGGAATAACAGACTCTGCTTGTTGCTCACTGCTCCTTGTTTGTACTTGAGCAGACAAGCATCGAGCCAATCATTCACAAGCAACATGAACATGGATTAGAAGGCTTTAACATTTAAAATGATCTAACTTTAGCTTAACAACTTAACTGACTTAACAACTAATGCATTGTTTATTTGTCAGTTTAGCAATAAGAATATGAGTTCTGCAAAACAGCCACCGGAGGGAGCAGTTGCTCTCTGCCTTCCTGGAAATTGTTATTTTTACACATTATTCTAAGGGCCACATTTTCTATAACCTTTTTGCTGCTAAAAACACCAGAATTGCCCCATTCTTGGACAGTAAAGGGATTTTCTATTGTATAAATAAAAAAATAAAAAAAAATCAAATCAGCAGATTAGCTGTAAATATCATTTGATTTATTTTAACATTCAGTTTCCTGATCCATCCAAAGCAGATGGGCTTCCAGGGTTAAAGGAGCAGCTTCACTAAAACCTGGATAGAAAAGCTCACATAGATCCTATAAAGGCTTCATCAATCAAGTCTTTGTTTATCATCATAACCATTGTTTTTTCTGAGACATCGGCTCAAAATGCACATATTTACACACACTGCAAAAACGTACTGAAAATTAACTTAAAATAATGGTATTTACCCTTAAATTTGAGTAGGAAAATAAGATGTTTTGCCGATGGAATCAGCAATTTTACCACTAAAATAAGAGTTGCATATTTCGCACTTAAATAAGAGACTGCTGTTTGTTTGTTTTTATTTTAAATGCAAATTGTCTTATTGCATTAGCAAGTTGTCTCACTCTCCTGCTTAATTCAACAAATGTACTTATTCTAAGAAAAAAAGGGCTTGGATCAACTTTTTTTTTGCAGTGCAGACCTGAGTTTAAAACTCTTACAGGAAAAGATGCAGAACAAGTTTCCTTACAGGAGGCTGAAGCACGTGAGAACACGGAACGTATCGTGTAGCTCACCGGGCCGCGGACCGGTACCGGGCCGCACAGAAAAAAAGCGTAATCGACAATCAGAGTCTGAGTGATGTTTTATTTTGAAAAATATAAAACATTGCGGTATTCTCTCCCAATTACATCAGTCGGTTTCAGTTCAAGACTCATCCTATCTCTAACATCCTATCTTTTTGAAGCGGGATTTTCTGCGGTTACAGCGACCGAAACAAAGCTAGACTGGGAAGACTGGACATCAGGAGCACACTTCGTGTGTCATTGTCTCCGATTACGCCTAGATGGGACTGGCTTGATGTTTTATTTTTAAGCTGTTTGTATTTGATTTTATGCCAGTCGTATCATTTTACTTGATCGTAAAATCCCCCCCGGCCAGTCTGTGATAATATTGTCTGACATATAGCGGTCTAGCGGTCCGTGGTGCAAAAAAGGTTGGGGACCGCTGGTGTAGCTCACATGTTTGGCGTCTTCCTGCAGAGGAACGGCTGCCTTTCTTCTGTCAGATGAGCATACCCAGTCAGACCAGCATACCCATAGTCGGTACGCAAGATATGTCAGATTTCTGTTTATGCCTTTAGTACTTCGATGGGTTGTGTATCCCTTTAGTCATGTACAAAAAAAACTTTTTACCGTCAAATCGCCATACGCTCCAAAAAACAAACTGAAAAGTAAGAAATACAATTTTCTTTTTTTTGTACATGAATACATGCCCACTAAGGTAGTTTAAAGTTTCTTTTTCATACAAACCTAAAGGGTTAAACGGGTATTGTCTATGGGTATGCTGGTCTGACCGGGTATGCTCATCTGACAGAACACCTTCACAGAAACTGATTCTGAGCCAATCTGTCGATGGAAATTGTTTCATTGGGATCTTTTTTTCTCACCTGTCAATCATTCCTCTGCAGGTCCTGGTGAACAGCAACCGTCTGAGTGAACGTGTGGTGGTGATCCCTGGGAAGGTGGAGGAGGTGTCCCTGCCAGAGCAGGTGGACATCATCATCTCGGAGCCCATGGGCTACATGCTGTTCAACGAGCGCATGCTGGAGAGCTACCTACATGCCAAGAAGTTCCTCAAACCCAACGGTGAGAAGGGGCGGGGTCTCTGGATGACCGGGAAAGTGGTCCGTTTTAACGCCTTCGTCTGCTGCGTGTGTTTCAGGTAAAATGTTCCCCACTATTGGAGACGTGCACCTGGCTCCCTTCACAGACGAGCAGCTCTACATGGAGCAGTTCACCAAGGCCAACTTCTGGTAGGAGGAGCTTGGACCACACACAGCTTCTCTCTGCTGTAATCCGCTAGTTTTCCTCACATGCCTGGAAGATGTCTAGTGCTGCTACCACAGATGATCTCGCTCTCCAAATGGAATTGAACGATTCAGATTAGCTAGAATGAATAGAAGGGGTAGAGCGTAGCCGCCTGTGGCCCGGGCTGCCTGTCACTACTCCAGTCCGGCGCGTGGATGACATCATACACACGCTGCTTTGTTTTTAAAAATATAAAGGAAAAAAATATAACTGCGAATGTCTGGGGGACAGTGATTGGCCTACATGTTCTGAATGCTGGCGTACCATAAAGAATAAATTATGAACAGTTTAGTTTGTGCCTTCAACTCGTTGCCCATAGGAAGACGTTACTGGATATAACCTAACTGAATATCTTCAGAACGGCTCCAAATGACACAAAACTCATATTAGTGAGTAGAACATGATGGAATAACGTAAAATCAAGGGGCCAATGGGAAAAAAACGGCGTTCTTCTTAAAGTGGACACGAACAGATTTCTCTCCAGGATGGAGTCACAGCCAAACAGGAACAGACCAGATGAAGCTGAGAGAGCAGAACGTTAGAGATTGAACTAACAGATTCTGCAGAGTGGGAGAATAGAGATAGAATGATGAAAAAGGGGTCCCTATGTCCTCCAGCAGTCTAAGCCTATAGCAGCATAACTATAGAGATAGCTCAGGATAACCTGAGCCACTCTAACTATAAGCTTTATCAAAAAGGAAAGTTTTAAGTCTAGCCTTAAAAGTAGACAGGGTGTCTGCCTCACGGACTAAAACTGGTAGTTGGTTCCACAGGAGAGGAGCCTGAGAACTAAAAGATCTGCCTCCCATTCTACTTAGACAATTCTATATTATGCACTTTTTTTTCTTATTTTAAATGTAAATTGTCTTAAATGTCTCACTTTCCTCCTCACGTCAAGAAACAAATGCACTTATTTAGAAGTCAATTTTGCAGTGTGAGAAGTGAATCCAATGGTGTTTCTCTGCAGACTGGATCTCATTTTCTAGACTTTTATGTCACTAAAAATGTTGTGATAAATATGAGCTTTAAAAAGAAAAATGGCAGTAAAACTAAACATTAAACTCACTCCTGCTAAATGGAACAACTATAACCTGATCATCTCTTCATGTGAACCAGCCTTAATGTTCTGGTGGTCACTAATTCCAGTGATCAAATTCTGCTCACCTTCTCCTGATGTCTAGATGCAGCATTTTCCTGCCTGCATTAAGTAGAGAATAAAGCACAAAGCTGCATGGTGTCATAGGGGGAGCAGGGTTCAGTCCGTCACGCTAAAACCATCCTCCTTCCATGCTGAATAGTAATAATCTGGGATTATTGTGTATTCATCGAAGTGTGACCCCGTCTCTGTTGGGCCCCTCCCAGGTATCAGCCCTCCTTCCACGGCGTGGACCTCTCCGCCCTGCGAGGAGCCGCAGTGGACGAGTACTTCCGCCAGCCAATTGTGGTGCGTAACATTCACTAGCTGATGATGTCACTGATGGTTTGGCGTCCTCAGTGATGTAAGCTGTGATGTTTTCCCTGCAGGATACCTTCGATATCCGCATCCTGATGGCCAAGTCTGTCAAATACACAGTGAACTTCTTAGAGGCCAAAGAGGAAGATCTCTACAGGTACGTCCCTCGTCTTCTCCCTCTGCAGATGTCCAACATCTTGTTTCTGACTCTTCCTGCTCCTTAGGATAGAGATTCCCTTCAAGTTCCACATGATGCACTCAGGCCTGGTGCACGGCGTGGCCTTCTGGTTCGACGTGGCCTTCATGGGATCAGTGTAAGTCTGCTGACCACAGAGACGCCGCCGTTGGGTGGAACCAGGTCCAAATGTTTCCCTGTGTACGTCCTCCCTTTAGGATGACCGTCTGGCTGTCCACAGCACCCACAGAGCCGCTCACCCACTGGTACCAGGTACGCTGCCTGCTGCAGTCTCCCCTGTTTGCTAAAGCTGGGGACACTCTGTCTGGGACAGCGCTGCTGGTGGCCAACAAAAGGTACGTCCATGAATGAAACATCTGCTCCTTTCTGCTTTTTTCTCAGACACCAAACGCCTTTTCATGTCTCTGTCAACCTGATCTGTGGCTAGACTCGAAATGCATCCTAACTGTTCAGGTTTTAGCTGCTCTACAAACTAAAATGGGCAAAAGAAATGACTGCCACACTTTTCAGATTTTTAGATCAATGCTACGTTCACAACAAACGGGCTTTGAGCAGCAAAAAAGCTTCTGCAGCTTCAGTTTTGATGCTTGTCCACATTAAAGGTACACTATGCAACCGGTGTTGATTTTCCAGCGAGGCTCCCCCCAGAGGGCGAAAGTAAAAGTGCACTGTCGTAAATATGCTCAGCTGTTCTCCTGGTTTCTCCGTCAAGCCAGGCGCGGTTGTTTTGAGCTTAGCAGACAGGCGACGAATCACCATGTCTACTGCAGTAGAGAGCCCTTTTCCTCTTTCTTGCCTGCTCCGACATCGCTGTTTTCTCGCTGGTTCCGCCATGATAACTGCACAAATATCGCCACTGTGCTAGCAACGAGCATGCCATTCACTGGGGGCGTGTAGCAGTTCTCGCCGTAAAGCAAGACCGACTCTCGCGATGCACGAGACTTCTGAGCCTGTGGGTGCGGGCCGAGGGCTCCTGTCAAGTACAGTATTTCCCCTACAGACCACCAGGGCGGCCGAGAAAACCTTTGTTTTCCTATACACTACTGTTTATGCTCTAAAAACATTCTACATGACTTCGTTTCGAGTAAATTCTGGATGCTACCCACTCAGGACACTTGGAATACATTGGACGAGCAGTATGGAGGGATATTAACACGTTTTTTGTGGACTTTTATGGACCTTTCTGTCTCGGGCACCATAGACCTCCATTATTTGAATGTCAGCAGACAGCAAGAAGCCTCCCAGATCTCCAGATGCATTTGAGATATCAAAAAAGTACTCCAGGGAGTTGTTCAGCATGGGGGTGAGTAGAAAATGAAGGCTAATCATGTTTTGGGTGTACTATTCCTTTAAAGAAGTCGGTACATCAAGGAATATTCAATGGATCATTATTTATACCTAACACGTTTGCGGTGATTTGATTAGTTTAGCGTTAAACGGTAAAAAATAAAAACAATATTTCTCGCCTCGATCACTGAGTCTGGGAGCGGCCATTTTTGCCCAATTATAGTAACCCCTCCCTCCTGCCATCTTCCAGCAGTGACGTCACGGTGCGGTAAGCCTAGCGCCATTCTCCCCGCTTTACAAGCTAAATCAATGGGAACTACTAGACACATCTGCAATCAACAACAATTATTGAAGATTTCCAGAGGACTTCACCATTGAAATTCACCAGAGCTATAGTGAAACTGACAATGCCCACGTGCATGGCAGCTGGATGCTGGAATACATCGGGTAAAAGTGAAAATAAAGAGTTATTCCACCTTCTGATTCCTGATCCTCCACGGACGGGTTGGTCCTTGGAACGCCAACTTGAAGAGGAAGGATTTGCCATCGAACTTCTGGCCAGAGAAAAAACCCGTAATATGTAGCCAACATTTGGAAGAAGAATGTAATAATTTCATATTTAAAATGGTTTCAGAAGTTTGAATTCTGAATATGAGTGGACTTGTCCTTTAATAAACTGTTTCAGAGGAGTGAATATAGCGCTCTGCATCAGCAGTGCTGCGGTGCGTCCAGCTAGCCTCTTGAGACCATCCCGATGTCGCGAGCTTTCAAGGTTTCACTCGTTAATCAGTCTGGAGACTCTCCGTTAAAGAAAATTTGGAGCCGTTCACCAAACGAACGTCCAATCAGCGTTGGCTTTGAGGCGGGTTGAGGTGTGACGCAACGAGAAGTGCGACAGTTCAGTCTAGAGAACATGGCGGCTTAAGCCGATAAAACTAGCGTTAGCGTGGCTATCGAGCAAGTTTTATCGGAATCACAGAGTATTTCTTCACTGAAAGAAGAGCAAAACACTGCTCTGGAGGCTTTTCTCAGAGGAAAAGATGTTTTTGCTCTTCTCCCGACTGGTTTTGGCAAGAGTTTGATCTATCAATTGGCTCCTCTTCGTCGTCGCTCTGTTAGTACGTCATATGCTTCGTTGATCTGATTGGTTTATTTGGCCCGTCTATCACCAACATAGGCCAATCAGCTAACCAGTATTTTCGCCCCTTCCCAAAATTACTTCAACAGAAGGTTTCCAGATGGATATGCGGAGCAAATCCATCTGGCGGAGTCAGGTTAGCGTCCAGCAGCTAAAGTTCATTTTTTTCAACTCCAGCAGCTGCTAGTTTTGCAGCTCGTCCCGAGCGTCAGATGCTCAGAAGCTCATGAGGCGCTGCTTCAGCTACTCAAAACGTGCTGCAGAACCTTTTGCTGCGCCTTGATGCGCATCAACCATTGACTTTGCATGTAAACCAGCTGCTTCTGCTGCTTTAGGTGTGAACGTAGCATTAGATGTTTTTCTTTCAATTGACAGAAAAGAAGCAGAGTTTCAGTCTATAACAAAGAGAAGCATTAAAATGTGGAAGTTCATGTTTTCAAATCGCTTCAGCAGCAAAAAGATGAAAAGTTTAGCTGAAAATGAAAGTTTCTCTTCACCAACCTTTCTACAGGCAAAGCTACGACATCAGTATTGTTGCCCAGGTGGACCAGACAGGATCAAAGTCCAGCAACCTCCTGGACTTGAAGAACCCCTTTTTCAGGTGAGCCCCCCCCACCCCCCCGCCGCATCGATTCAACACGCCTCACAAAGGACAGAACATGCGTCTGTTCTCTTCTTCTTTCCAACCGCGTTTGTTTCTGTCTGCAGGTACACAGGCACCACCCCCAACCCCCCTCCCGGCTCACACTACAGCTCCCCTTCTGAGAACATGTGGAACACGGGCGCCGCCTACAGTATGGGTCAGGGGATGGCGGTATCAGGTGAACATCCAGCTGTTCAGGGGTTTCCAACTGTTAACAAAAAAACTCCTGGATCAGCTTTTTATTGGTTTTAACTCCACCGTAGGTTCCTGCAGCTCGAACACGCCAATGGATCTCTTAACTTTTTCCCCGCAATAGAATTTGCACGTAAATCAGACACTTTGAGGAGGAGTTCTGGATAGAACAGATTGACAGAGGAGATTTATTTTTTATTATTTTAAATGCAAAACATTTTAGTTTTACAAATTTGATATAATTCCTGCTCTAAGTGGGTGGCTCTGTCAGCTAAAGGCTTGTTTTAGAGTCAAGTTTATACTCCAGTAAACGATAAACCGATTACTGAATTAGTTGACAGTTATATCAATAATCGATGAAGTCGATTCATTGTTTCAGCTCTGGTCTCTAACGCATCAGACTGGAGTCCAAAGGAGGACGGAGGTGTTTGAGTTTCTGAAGGCTGTTATTGGGACCCAGAGGGTGGATCTGGACCTCTCTGATGATCATGTGATTGTTCTCCCTCCTGGGTTGGTGCTAAAGGAAAAAAAAACAGAGAACCTCTGGCAGTAATAACTATAGAAGTCAGCCTGTCTGAAGTTGGACCCTGAAACCTTTGATTCCACCTTAAATCTAATAAAAAGGCTGTTTTAGTCCCTGGTGAAGTTAATTCTACGGTAAACGCTAACATGTCTGTTTTCTCTGTCTTATCAGGGATGCCAACAGCTTATGACCTCAGCACAGTCATCGGCAGCGGCCCAGCGGCGTCCCACAACAACCTCATCCCTCTAGGTACGAAGCTGGGTCTCTGATGGCGGGAGACGGGGAAGCCGCTCTTTGGGTCCAAGAAGCTTTTTCAATTCAAAATGTCAGAAATAGCATTGAGTTTAAGGCTTTATAGAATGGACCAAAACAAAGGCTTGTTTTTGTTTAGAAAACATGCAAACAGACGAACGGGTCCATCCCTTGGGAATGGAGGTCGTTTGGCTTCCTTTGTTCTGTTCTGTTAGAGGTGACGGGGATGAGGGGGTTAAAGTCCACCCACAGTGGACGGTTAGACTCTGATGCAGCGATGCGGTCTGAATGTGCCGCTGCGTCTGATCTGACCGACCTGATGCAGACTATAACGATGAGGGAGGGACCAGGAGCTCTACCTTTTTGCAGGACTGGAAAAAACCCGCCCTCTCCACTTTAAAAAAAAAGAAGAAAAGGAAAAAATATACATTCCCAACCCTGTATCCGTGCCAGAGAGGGAACATTTATTAAACGTGTGCGAGAGCGTGCACAAGCCCATTTCTCCTCATGCACGCTGCTTAAAAGTTGCTGTTTGCATTACTCATACAAGCTTACATTCAAATAGATGTGCAATTTTTCCAATATATCAGTTAGCCCAGTGGTAAGAGCAAATGGGGACGAGCGCATTAATATATCAGAATGATTGACAACTAGAAGGACCACTTATTTAGATGATCCACCCAAAAAAAACATCCTTCACTATACTTAAATTAGTGATGGTTAATGAGATGTCTTGAAGCGTTTTTTTGTCTCATTGCCAAACTGTATTGATTCTGAATACTGACACCTGCTGGACATTTAGGAAACTACAGGCAGCTTATTTCACAGACTGAACTGAATTGATTTCTTCATCTAAGTTTTTGTAGGTTATATTATATTTCATATCTATGTTTAAATTGAAAATATCTGATATTTTTAGATGCAGCAAATGTGAAAATTTAGGGGAAAATGTGAATGAAAATGCTTGTGGACTAGGATTTTAAATATTTTAAAACAATGAGTTCAGTAAAAACGGTAAATAAACTAAGAGTCAATTTGAAATGAACTTTAATTCAGATAAGTTCAGTGATCACTGAAAGGAAAATGATGAAACAACGAGAAAATAAAAACGACTGAAACGTTCCTGTTCCGTTTTAGGCTCCAAAATCTTTGATCATTCTAATGATAAACCGCAAAAGATCAGACATGCATCATGTTAACAGAAACGTTTTTAAACGTAGTTTAGTTAGTCAGTCGGTTAGAAACGACTCGTGTATCGGTCACATGACTTCCTAGAAACGCCACGCCGTGTGTTTTTCTCTATGGGCTCCACACATGAACCGACACATCGGTGTTACTGGACCCATCGCTACCTTTAATGCTACGCTAGCTCATGCTACACAGGTTACCCTGGAAGTGTTGGTGTGTGGGTTGCCGTGGCAACCATAGCTTTGAAAAGTGTGTACTGATTGTGTCCTCTGGCCTGCAGTCAACACGGGGATCGTAAACCACACCCACTCCAGGATGGGCTCCATCATGAGCACAGGAATAGTTCAAGGTACCCCACCCCCACCACAGAGCACCTGGGAGGGCGTCACGCCCGGCACTTCTGACCCCAGCGCTTTGTTCTCTGTTTCAGGAGCCACGACGGGTCAGTCGGGCCCCAGCAGCAGCGGTACTTACTACCCCATCACCAACCAGTTCACCATGGGGGGCGCCGCCATCTCCATGGCCTCCCCCATGGTCATCCCCAGCAACACCATGCATTATGGAAGTTAAGATGAAGACCCGGTAAAGACCTGTTGACCCTCCCCGCATGACAGGACCCCCCCTTTCCCCCCTCCTCTCCTCATGGACACTCAACCAAAACCAGGAAACCAAAACCAGTGCTGTGCTGGCATTTCCCCGACCTGTTCCCAGTTCAGTCCACCACTGGGAAAACTGCTGAACGTCCCTCTATCCGTCCACTCTCGTCTCCTCCCAGTGGAGCTCTTAGTCTCATCCATCCACTCTTCCTCCGTTTTTGTTCGACCCTTTAAGCGTTTGAGTTTTGGCTCCAAACGGCATCATTCCGTTCGCTCGGCGCCACTCGCCTCTGTACAGCTGGACCCCGTCTGATCCACAACCTCATCTTCCTGTTTACATCGTGGCTCCGCCCATCATCCCTTCTAAGAAGCACCGTGATGAAGGACGCTTCATGGAAGATCAGGGTCCCTTCCATGCTGGGTAAAGAATTTGGCTCCGTTGGAAGTTTTACCGTCTCTTCAGAAACGCAGATGAACTGGAAGCTGCTTCATCTTCCTCTAGATTCAGCGTTTAGGTAGAGACTTTATGTTCGCATCAAATTCACAAAGTTTACATTCAGTGTAGTTTTCATTTTATCAGCCAACATGAAACAACAACCTGCACTTTTTAATCCACAGCAGCAAAAATTCTTAAACGATCCGACTGCCGTTAAGGTTAGAGAAGCTTCAGGGTTTGAGTGAAGTTAGAGAAACTCTGCATGGAAGGTGATCGCTGCTGGAACATCAGGTCCTCCACATCTGCTCTTACCTTAGAGGACGCCGCAGCTTCATCCAGTTAGTGGGAAAAAGGCAGAGAGCGAAGCAGCCGACTGGAACCATGGCTGAAGTGGCGGCTCCTCTGCCCCACCCCCCACCCCCCCAAGACTCAAAAACAGACTGGTGTCGCCAGGCCTTGGAGACATATGCCCTTGGACATATCGCCGTCTGCACAGCCTCCACCCACATCCACGATTATCAGCAGAGGAAGGAGACGGAGCGACACTTTTATGCATAACTTCCAGTGTCACAACTATCAGAACTTGATTTTGCAAGTTTTAGGAGAGCTTAGGAAAAATGTCTCTTAGTAGGAACTATTTTTGTTGAATAATTTTTTTTTGTTTTTGTTATTTTTTTTCTCTTTCACAAGAAAACAGAAAAAAAGGAGAAAAAAAAGAAATTAAATGTGGAGATGTTCCAACCCACCCTGGAATCCTGGAATGTTGTAGTGTTTTAGTGTCCTCTTTGTAAGATAGACGCAGCTGATGTTTTCCATGTGGTAGTTAGCCCTATAGTCATACTGTCCCTCTCATGGTGAAATCATGCTCCTCTGTACTCCAACGGTGGCGTCCGCTGTTGATCATGGAACAGTGTAAAGGATTACTGTCATGTGTGTTTTGACCAACGAGAAATAACATCTTTGACCCTGTCTGACACTGACTCTTCTGCTCCAGACATCAGAAGCCCCCCTTTACGTTTATTCTCCCACAGTAGAGAAAACAGGGGATCAGTATGAGAATAAATATTTAAAAGTTTAGCTGTAGTCTCCTCTTAGGGGAAAAACACTGCAGGCATTGATCAGAAAAGGCACATTCAGGACGGGGCGGGGCAATTAATTACATTTGAAATATAATCGCAGTTTAGAAAAACGCAGTTTCCAAATTCAATTAGTTTATTTCTATAGCGCCAAGAAACACGTCATCTCAAGGCACTTTCCAGTTCACCAGATCATCCAGTCAGATTTATTGAAAGTTTTCTAAGGAAAATCCAGCTGATTGCATCAACTCACTGACTCTTCAGGAATCTCTCACACTAAGCATGCTTGTAGCGACAGTGGAGAGGAAAAACTCCCTTTGAACAGGAAGAAACCTCCAGCAGAACCAGGCTCAGTGTGAGCGGCCATCTGCTGAGGCCGACTGGTGTTCAAGGAGACAGAAGCAGACATAGAAAAAGAAGCATAGATACAAAAGGCAACTGTCAACCAGCTCCACAGGCGGCCCCGTCCAGGAAACACACAGCCAGGCAGACGAGCTCCGAGCCAGCTCCCATGTCAGAGGATGAAGAGAGCACATCCAGTTAGTCACAGTCAGAGAAACAGGACTACACTGGATAACAGGCCGATCTCCAGCATCTAGAAACAAAGGTGTTGATGGCAGCAGCACAGCTGATATTTCTCTCCAGGATGGAGTCACAGCCAAACAGGAACAGACCAGATGAAGCTACTATGAGAAAAAGCAGAGAGAGCAGAACATTAGAGATTGAACTAACAGATTCTGCAGAGTGGGAGAATAGAGATAGAATGAAGAAAAAAAGGGGCCCTATGTCCTCCAGCAGTCTAAGCCTATAGCAGCATAACTAGAGAGATAGCTCAGGATAACCTGAGTCTCTCTATAAGCTAAAAACACTGCAAGCGTTGATCAGAAAAGGCACATACAGATTGCGGCTGTGCATTTTAAAACATTTGCAAAATAATCACAATTTAGAAAAATGCAATTTTCATATCACAGACTATTTTAGTCACATTACATTGATCAAGAAATGTCTTTAAGTGGCAGTAATTAAGGTAAGACTGGTCCCACAGAAGGTAAGTGCGCTGCAGCAGGCATGCAGATCCGTGCAGGACAGTATAAGCAACTTTTTTTCCACTGGAAGTTCGCAGTAAATTGTTGCATCAATGGGTTCTGAAAAGGCAAGCTTTCAAGGTCATGGATGAACTAAAACCCTTTAAGAAAACATTACAGGCTTACGCTTGGTGCAAAGGGAAATCACAATAATATACACTCACCGGCAACTTTATTAGGTACACCTGTGCAACTGCTCGTTAACACTTAATTTCTAAGCAGCCAATCACATGGCATCAACTCAGTGCATTTAGGCATGTAGACATGGTCAAGACAATCTCCTGCAGTTCACACCGAGCATCAGTATGGGGAAGAAAGGTGATCTGAGTGACTTTGAACGTGGCATGATTGTTGGTGCCAGAAGGGCTGGTCTGAGTATTTCAGAAACTGCTGATCTACTGGGATTTTCACGCACAACCATCTCTAGGGTTTACAGAGAATGGTCCGAAAAAGAAAAAACATCCAGTGAGCGGCAGTTCTGTGGGCGGAAATGCCTTGTTGATGCCAGAGGTCAGAGGAGAATGGCCAGACTGGTTCGAGCTGATAGAAGGGCAACAGTGACTCAAATAACCACCCGTTACAACCAAGGTGGGCAGAAGAGCATCTCTGAACGCACAGTACGTGGAACTTTGAGGCAGATGGGCTACAGCAGCAGAAGACCACACCGGGTGCCACTCCTTTCAGCTAATAACAGGAAGCAGGCTACAATTTGCACAAACTCATCGAAATTGGACAACAGAAGATTGGAAAAACGTTGCCTGGTCTGATGAGTCTCGATTTCTGCTGCGACATTCGGATGGTAGGGTCAGAATTTGGCGTCTACAACATGAAAGCATGGATCCATCCTGCCTTGTATCAACGGTTCAGGCTGATGGTGGTGGTGTCATGGTGTGGGGAATATTTTCTTGGCACTCTTTGGGCCCCTTGGTACCTATTGAGCATCGTTGCAACGCCACAGCCTACCTGAGTATTGTTGCTGACCATGTCCCTCCCTTTATGACCACAATGTACCCAACTTCTGATGGCTACTTTCAGCAGGATAATGCGCCATGTCATAAAGCTGGAATCATCTCAGACTGGTTTCTTGAACATGACAATGAGTTCACTGTACTCAAATGGCCTCCACAGTCACCAGATCTCAATCCAATAGAGCATCTTTGGGATGTGGTGGAACGGGAGATTCGCATCATGGATGTGCAGCCGACAAATCTGCGGCAACTGTGTGATGCCATCATGTCAATATGGACCAAACTCCCTGAGGAATGCTTCCAGCACCTTGTTGAATCTATGCCACGAAGAATTGAGGCAGTTCTGAAGGGTAAGGGGGTCCCACCCGTTACTAGCATGGGGTACCTAATAAAGTGGCTGGTGAGTGTGTATATGTATAATTAAAAATTTCAATTTAGATTTTTTTTTTTGCCAAATCGTTTGGCCCTAATTCTGTTCGAGAAAGATTTTGAGCAAGAAGCTTAAGAAAAAGAGCTCTATCTTAAATCAATTCCAGCTGTAAGCCACTAAATATGTTAATATGAACAAACCCATAAAGATAAGCGAATCAGAGGCAGAGAAACAGGATCTGTGGTACCAGACTGTTTTTTTCTCCATGCATCCTTTGACCTCACAGACGATGGACTGCTGGGCAGAGGTTGTGTTGATTGTTGGTGTCTGAGAACAGGTGGAGAAAGCATCTGAGCTGCTACAGCTGCAGAAAAGCACAGGGTCGCATCCTGTAAGCCTCAGCCACAATGTCTGGCTACAACCACAGGAGCTCCACTGACTGGTCAACATGATGGAGCCATGCTTCAGACTGGTGGAGTAATGATGTCTCCTGACATCCACCATCATCAGATTTCAGTCCAGTAGAGAACCTCTGGGATGTGGTGAGCTGCTTCATACATGTGCTGCTAACAAAGCACAGAAGCTGAAGGTCTGTTGGTTTTACCCAGAACCTCCACTGTGTCTCACCTACTTGATTCAGGGTCACCATCTATTTCATTTGTTACTGAAGCAGCAAACTGGTTCCAACATAGCGACATGGTAAGGAGGCCTGGGAAGGATCCAGTTCCCTTTGGATCAGAATATACGAGTTCTGGAGTAATTCTGAATGAGAACAGATTAGAGGATTTATCTATGAAGCAAAAACCAAGGGTTGTATCCATGGAAACGCTTGTCAAACATCAGTCAGTCTCAGCCATCTGCTCAACAGGAAGTTTAGGAGGAGCATTTCTGTTAGGCAGGGGCGGATTTAGGAAATTTGGGGCCCTATGCACAGACAGACGGGGGGCCCCCTGAATGGAGAAGACAACTCATAGAACAGACCCATTCATTTTTTCCCAGCACTAAGCTCACTTAGCTGATTGCTCCTTCCTGTGTTTCCAAAAAGTCCAAAGTAAATAACCCAGTCCTTCTTTTCACTGTAGACAAGCCATGATCTGCTTATCTGTTCTCCATTTTTCATTTGGATGAAATAATAGCTGCATGAATCATGACAGCAGACAAGATAGAGGAGAGCAGGACGCGGGGTTACCAATCTACTCGCTCTGGAGAGCAGAGTTCGCTGCTTTTAGATGTTGTCTCCAAAGTCTCCAGTAGCAGAAAAAAGTCTCTAGATTTGGCGCTAGGAGCTTTTTAGAAATCAAAGTGCTAGAGGGGTCTGAAAAGTGGCTAAATATAGCGACTAAAGCGCTAAGTTGGCAACACTGCTCTTTGCATGGTTTGTTTTCAAATGGTTTGCTGCTGTCTGTTTGGACCTTTCTGAACATGTGCAGCAAATGGACTGATCCAATATGGTGGACACTGAGGGGGGGGCTGAGACACACTTAATATTATAAATGTTCTGATGCTATTTTAGCCAAAGGATTTTTATCAAAAACATAATTAATGTGCACAAATAAGGAATAGTTGTATTAACCATACATGGCAACAGTTTTATGGGGCCCTCAGGAACTTGGGGCCCTAGGGAATTGCCTAGTATTGCCTGATGGTAAATCCCCCCCTGATGTTAGGCACTCTAGTCCTTCCTAATCAGCCAGTTACCGTCCAACCCTGAGCCATATGGGTTTGTCCAAGCAAAATACACACTTTTTGCAAATTCATTTTGTTTTTAACCCAAATCCCCTGAAACAAATCCTCTAAAATGAGGCTTCATTAATGCTACGTTCAGACCGCATGCGACAGAAGCAGGAAAAAGGTTCCTGTTGCTTCATCTTTGATGCTTCTGAAGCGCGTCCAGTTTTTTTTCCCTTTTCAGGCCGATTTTCCAGTCATGTGAGACTTTTTCGATCGGGCCGACTTTCAGCCTGATGGTGAGTAGTGTAGTGTACAAAGGCCGATCAGCCTCCTGATCAGGAATCGTGAGATCAGGAGAAATTCAGTCGGCTTCGTAAGTTGGTCGTAGGCAAACAAGGACTCTTCTTCCTCTTCTACTCGTTTGGCTTCCAGATAGACGAGTCCGAGTAGCGCCATCTCACTGCGGAGCTGAGTCCCACCTGGTTTTTAGACGTACAGTGTGAGCAGGTAGATCGCATCAGAGCGTCGTGTCGCACAGCGTGAGAACAAACATGGTGAGTTGAGAACTTTTAAACCCTGCGGTTTGGTCTAACAGTGTGAGCTGTAGCTGCGTTCAATGATTGAAAAATATCTTACAATGTATGCCCGGCTTAAAGTGTGTCCAGATGCTTTGCTGCAGCTTTGCTATATCTGCAGATAGGAGTGGGTAAAAAAAGTTTTAATGTTTTTAAATGAGAAAATCAGCCTTAAAACATCATACGTGTAGTCAGTTTATCAAGGTTACGATTCTACCTTCAAATATTT